ATAATAATAATAATAATAATAAGGTTCAGTTTTGGGAATTCCTGTTGTAATAGCCATTTATGAAAAGATGGAACTGATGACAGATAAGAATTTAAGCCAAGCTGTTTTATATTAAGAGGTCTGGGCAAAGGGATTTTTCTGTTTGGTTGATTCACTGGCTGGAGTTCTTTAAGTCTGGTTTTTTTCAAAAGCTGACAAGGAACCAGATAACTTTTATTATTTTTCCCTTTTTTGATGAAAATATCAAAATTATTCTTGCTGTGATTTTGGGGTTTTTTTCATCCTTTCCACACAGTGCCTTATATTTTGGTGCTATGAACTTCACTGTCATGGCGAGCTGCAGCTATACTTGCATTCTTATACGCACTCAGCATATAATTACATTTCTGACAGAATGTATTAAAATGACCATTAAATATACTTGCACATCATAGTAACTGGGAATTCAGGAGTACAAATTCAGTACATTATCTCAGCTTTAAAAAACAGACAAAAGAAACTTGTTATATGCTCTCAGTCCTTAAGAGTAACTAGCTTGGCCTATATCACGTGGTGGACCATCATAGGTGACTAAATGTTGTCATGGCAGCTACTAAAAAAGTATTCAATTCGTACATAGTATTTTCTATAAAAATTAATTTAAGAATTAGAAGCTGAAAGAAATTCCTGAAGATAGACTAGCAATACACTGCAGTAAGATGGTATTTCTGTTCTGAATTTTAGGTTATTATTATGAAATTCCATCTATTGGAGCCATAAGAATTAACACCCAGGTAAGTGAGTTGGCCAAATGCAGATGCAGTTGTAACACAAAGAAGTGGAGCGATTTCTGTTCTTGCTTATGTTGCATGTCATGTTTATTTGAATAAATTAAATTTTAAGATATGCTACATAAGAATAGAGAAGAAAATAAGGCTTCATTTTACATGTGAGGGATTATTCTGTTTAAGTATTGTAAAGTATTTATTTATTTTCAGTAGTTTCACTGAGCCAGTTCTCAATGTGATCCATGTTTCCCTGGCCAGCTGGCCCACAGCGGCCTGCACATAAGTCCTGCTAGCACCCTCCAAAGCAGGCTGGCCACGTGCACACAACAGAGTGTTTGAAGTGATCTGCATTCTGCAGACTTCTGTACAAGGACTATGTCTTGGGCTCAGTTTTCCTCCTGGACTTCCATAGTCCCTCTTTTATCCTGAGACACAGCAATTTTTTTTTTAATAAAGTTCTATTACCCAGTAATTTTTTATAAAATGTCTAGACATTTCTAGTCTGCCTCCTGCGACATTTACAGTGTAGTCCTACGGGTTTATATTGCTGTGGGTCTGTGTGAAGGCACAGCCCTGATTGATCATCTGAGCTCAGCTGGGCAGAAACAGTGACCTGGTGCAATCCTGTGTCTAGGAGAGGTTTCTGGATTGATCCAACCACTCTGGGAGAGACATGCCTTTTTTCCTTCAAAAATAATGCAGGACAATTTTAGCAGACATGAGTGTAGATAATTAAGGGCACAGGATCTTGGAATTGTATAATGTGATCCAAACTGACAGTGTAAACGAACAGATGTTATTTTCAGTTGTCTGTAAGTCCGTGTATTCTCATGTCCAGAAAAGCAGAGAACTATCATAGCAGTTTTTGTCCTTCCAAAGCCAGGCATGACATTTTTGGCAGAAAATAAGAGTCCTTTTCTTGGCTTGAACAGGAGTCCTTTGATTCTGTTAAACTCTTCCAGATAGTGTCTGGCAAGAAATATCCTTAATATGATTAGGCAAATAGAAAAGGTTGAAAGCTGAAACAAGTTTAATGGGATCCACTCAAACCAGACCAAAAGTCTGACATCTCATAAAATCACCAGCTTTAGCTGTAATCCTGAACTGAAGGGAGGCAGGGACTGTGAGGTTTTTAAACTCTGCATTTTTTGTTTCAGTAGAAGTTATGCAAGGTCTTTGCTGTAGGAGCTTAACATACCCAGCTGCTACACCACTCACCTTCCATTGCCTACTCTCCCTTCTGGGTTGAAGGTTCTGTGATCTGCTTGTAATTTCCTTATGTCATTAGCAATTAATTTGGGAACAGTAATAGTTGTAATTCCCGCTTTCTGGAAAGAGAGCAGTGGTTATGGATGTGTAAGGTCCATGTGACCGAGACTGAAATGTAGGAATTGCCGTGGCAGGAAATACTGCAAAATGAAGATTGAATTGTTGAGTAGTATAATTTTAAATACATTTAAATACTACTCCTGTATTAGTGGTGAATTTTGACCTTTTTTTTACTAGTCTTTTTATTACTTTTATTTCATTAGTGTTTCTTTTTTATGCTGTTTCTGGATTTGGTCTAATGACTGCTTTTTAATGAGTTTATTACACTTTTTGGCAGGAATATCTGGATGTATTGGGAAGACCAATGGTTTTAGCTGGAGAGAAAGCCAAACAAGTCCAATGGACCAACGTCTATCTGGATGCTCTGGTATGATCTGTACTTATCTCTAGTAAAGTAAGAATCTTACCAAATCCATAACTGTAGGAGGCCATTTTCCACCGTACTGAGGACTCAATTTCCTACAGTTCTAAACATAATATTCTCTCACATTTCCAGCATCTGTACCCTTCAATAGAGCAATTTCCTGAACAGTGATTTCTAATGTTCTGGTCACTACTTGCAGCTGGTATCCTCCTGAATGTCCTGAACTTCAACTGAAAAAAGCAATTTATCCTACACACTGATCTCTAAGTGTAGGTCATTGATGTCCTCAAATTAACAAAAGAAAACAGAAGCAAATACTTTTCCAGTGTTGTACCTGTGCTGCAGTAGAGGTCATCTCTTATGTTACTGGTGTGGAATTCTTACTTTTTTTTTGTTTCTTTTGTTTGGTTTTTTTAAGCATTATAGTCAGAATGAAACCTGCCAATGTTACTAGATATTTCAATAGATTTTTTTTTAACGTGGGTCTTTAAAGTATTATGGATGTTGTAATTGCTTGCTTGCTCAAGGTAATGGTTTCTTTAATTGGACAGTGTATATAATAGGGAAATCAACAAAAAGATATATGAAATGCTTTCCTTACTGCTGAATTAATCACTTTGGTCTTGTAAAACAAACATATTCAGGAAACTACGAAACGTGAAGTATTATTAGCAGCAATCCAATCTGTTGCTCTAGATAAACTACTTCTGAGTAACTCTAACTACTGCAAATTGGTCATCTGGAATCATGTATTTATCCAAGTTCACATGGTCATCTAATGTCATGTCAAAATCCACTTCTTCCTGTCAGTCAGCATTACTGTAAAATGTTTATCAACACATCGTAGAACTGAGCGTGACACAGAAGAATTAGTTTTTCTTTGGAATCTCAATGGCCAGAAGTTCAGTAACCTTGGTTAGTGCTGAGGTACTTACTGGAAACATAAAGGATGTTATGATGAAAGTTCATGTGTTCTGTACATATCCTGTTGTAAGGTCAAAGCTGAATTTGTAACTGGGGATAGAAAGTTATCTCTTTAGTGAAGTAAAACGAGTGATACCTGCAGACTTTGGTTGCATTAATTTATATTTTCAGTGGATTCATTCAGTCTTTCCTTCAAGCTTTTATCCATGAGTTATGTGTGTGTGTTTGTGTATATATAATTATATATATATTTGTGTGTGTGTATACATATATGTTTATAAAAGTAAGACAACCCAATCTAACCTGTTCAGGTAAAGACTGAAATCTGTGGACTTGTTAGCATGAATGCACAGGTGTATCTAATCCACTCTGGAGCCTTTTCCTGATTCTTGGTTTTAGCAGGGACTGGGACTAACTTGTCACACTGGTGATTATCTTAAATTCCCTGAAGCAATTCCCTCCTGTAGGGCTTGCCGTTCTTCTGCTTGTGCCTCACTTAACTTATTCCTATCCTTTTTCATCTTTCTGTCCTGCAGCTGTTCTGGGGCTAAGGCTAAAATAATGCAAAGTGTGTCGCATAAGGACACACTTGAATTGAGCTTAAGTTCAGGTATGAAATCCAAAGGAGGTACTTTCATCTGAGGCTGTCTTTCAAGACTGTCTGTAATAATTTGATGTGTTTGTGGCAATTCACACCTCTTTTCGTATTCTGTTCGGGTTCTGTCACAGTGTTGCTCTGGCCTCACTTTCTGCAAGATAATTCCAAGAATTTTCTGATACTCTTAGGTGTACCAGTTAGTCATAATTTATTCACAATTATTATCCTCTCTAACTGAATATATATATATTTTTTGGGAAGGTGGGGGGGAAGGAGGAGGGTGTTATCCCCCATATATACCCCTCCTGTTTTATTATGTAGCTCTTCAATACTCCTTCTAAAAAATATATCCTCCTCTTTTTTTCTTCTTATTCATGTCCTTTTCTTGCTTCTCTTATTCTCCTAAAAAGTCCACTTGTCCTTCTCTTCACCGTGCTTGTAATTTTACTAACTCTGATTTCATCATCTTTCATTTGATGCATGAACTAAAGTTCATGTAGGATATTTTAAAATTCAAAAAGGTGCTACTAGACTGGGCAAATGGAGAAATTATTTCATCAGAGTGGATTAATAAAGTATTTTATCTTTTCTAATGAAACAAACTGAGAAAAATTATATTCTTCCTTAATAAAATATTTTGAAGGAGCAAACATCAGTGAGCAGGAAAAAAAAATTGAAATAGAAGCCAAACATTAGCATAAAAAAGACAGAAGTCTCCCTGTGGACCATTTCAAACAAAACAAAACTTTGCCTATGTAAATATATGGTTGTCTGGATTCTATCTTAATTATGAGTTGTGATTGTTAACAAATGTCTTATATCTTCCCAAAGAAGTGCAAATTCCTTGCCTCAGTACCAGAACAGACTATGCGATTTTGAAGAACTCATGGTGGACATTATTGCAAGCCATTGAAAAGTAGTGTTGTTATGTAAAGTAGTAGTATTACCTGTTGAATTTTTTTGTAGATTCTCCATGTATGTATTTGTTGCCTACTTATTTACTATCTCTAGGTTTGGTTTGACTTTCTCCTTTTTTTTCTTTTTTTTTTTCTTTTTTTTTTTTTGGCCCCTACTATATGGAGTTTTTAGGATAGTGGGAATCACAGCTGCAAACATGTTTTTATAACATTTAGTTTTCATTAAACTATTGTATCCTAAGTTATTGCACATTACCTTTTTTCCAAAAGCAATTTATTGTTCTCACTGACACATACATACAAAAAATGTAATTTTAAATTTCTGTACATAAAATCATTGAAGTATAATTTTTTTCCGAACTAAAAGTTAGGTCTCTAATCTAGTGTTTGGCTACAGTAATCCCTGGATTGTTCTAATATGCTATAGTTCAATATTTGTTCTTTAACTAAAAAGCCTTTTTCTCCTTTCTGTATGTTATTATTTCCTAGGAGCTGGGCCTTGTGATTACAGGAACTCTACCTGTCTTCAACCTAACAAAGGAACAAAACGGGAAAATAGTAAGCTGTTACTTATAGGAAAAAAAACAAAACACAAAACAAAACAAAACCAAAACCAAACAACAGTTATTTGACTTAAATTTAATTCTAAATTCCTTGAAAAAATGTGTATTTCCATAGAGCTTTCTGCCATTTAATTGTCTCATACATCAGAAAGAAAAGGGTCATCTCCATTTGCCTGATAACCTCCTGGGAACACAAAAATGCAGATTACCTTTTTTGTAGTTGTGAGTTTCAGGATATGACATTTCTGGATCTGTCTCTGAGAGCTGGTAGCAGTCAGCATGAATAAAGTGCTCAATAAATGGGAAGTTATGATGATGATACTGTCTAGACCTTGCCAAGAATTGAAGCGTAGATAAATTTATAATAAATCTGTGAAGCTCTGACATTTCAGGGTAAAAGGCAATGATGTAGAGACTTTAAATTCATTGTTTGTGGTGGTAATTGAATAGAAAATACTCAAAATCTAAGTATTAAATAAATACAATTCCCTATTACAGTCTGATAAGGAATCCGTTTATGTCATCTTCACAGAATCATAATACTGCTTTTTTAAAATCAGACCTAGAATATGCTTTGCAGTGTGTGGTAAAATACTGTATATTTGGTGTGATACTGATGTTCATTCAGGTCACAATATACAGAAGTTTAGACCAGATATTCTTTGATTCAGTTTCTCAGATATTACATAGACTCAGAATGAATAAATATGCATTTGATCACTGTCATTTTTAAATTTACTTTCAGAATAGTTCTCTTAGTTTCCCTTTAAAAATAAACAAAACAAAATAAACAAAAGAAAGCAAAAAATATATGTTTCATAATCTTTTCTACAAGATCATGTCTGGAATTCACTGAGTCTGGTTGCAAAGTGAGAGACTACTGATTATCAAAGGATGTCCTTCTGAGAAATAAAAGAGACATGGTTTAGTACACAAGACCTGGATGGATGAAGGGGAAAACTTGAATCTGCCTGACTTAGGTCCATACCTGAATTTTAGGTTACAGACTGCAAGAGGCATCTTCCAATAGATATTCCAAATCTGTTTAAGATGGAGAAGGGATTCAGGTGATACTATGTAAATGACTGCCCCTCTTTTCTGCAGCAAGAAAATAAATTACATGTGAAGTAACTGTATTGCCTGTGTCCCTGATTTCAAATTCTGATGACTGTTATAGTCACTGGTTGTTGGTTTTGTTTTTATTCTTTAATTTATTGTTACACCATAGCCAAAATAGGTTAAATATGTTGAGGTCTCACTTATCCATTGCCCAACCTAAGTGTGCAATAGTAACTCTATATTATTGCTAGTAATTTAGTCCAGTTTGGCAAACAGCATCTACATCATTGCTAATATTAATGCATCACTTTTTCTTTCACCTGTTTTGTTCTTACATGTATTGTTTGTTCATCCAGGAAAGCATCCATATTCATATTCTTAGAGTTTTCATATCCTATACTAAATTCTGAATGTATTGAATGTTATCTTTAATCACTTTGATATTATTTAAAATATTTAGAGTAGACACATAAGTAAATAGGCAACTTTTCAAGTAGTATCTGTCAAACAAGACACAAAGGCAAATTCAAAGTTCACTGACTGTTGCAGTTATTCTGCATTGTAAATATGTCAGACATATTCTAACATTTTGGAATCTTACCAGAATCAGCTGATTCTTGGAGTAATGGGGGTTGATGTCTCTTTGGAGGACATAAAAAAACTGACACCCCGATTTACGGTAAGTTGCTTGCATTGGTGGTTTCTCTTTATATATGATTTATGTATGATTTATTTGCATAGACTTTCATAAGTCATACAGCAATGACTGGATGTCTCAATATACCAGCAGGCTTCTTTTCAAATATTGTTGAGGATTTTCTGATGGTTTTCTCTCCAGCCATATATGTGCTTTTGTGTGATCTCTCCACCAGGATGCATCTGTAAAAGCCAGCTTTTACATTGGGGGATATATTCAAAGTAATTATTTTCCTGTAGCTTAAGGCACTGCTATTTAGTTGAGTGTTTGGTTCTTATTACAGTGTTGAGCAGACAATAATTTCAGCTAATAATACTTAGTTTTTATATTAGACAGTTCTTTATAGAAAAATTCCTTAATATACATGTCTGTCTGTACCCTACTCAGTATGATTGATATATTTAGACATCTAGCTGGGAAATTTTTAAGAAAATATCCAATGCTGTGGAAAACAACAGCTGAGGAAGCAAAGAAACATCATGAATTTGATCGAAGGCACATAAAAAGTCCTGTATCTAGAATGGAATAATCCCATGCCATGGTACAAACTGGGACAGGCTACCTCAAAAGGCAGGAAAGGGCCTGTGGGTCATGATGGAGGATGAGATGAACATAAGTTAGCAGTGTGCTCTTGCAGTAAAGGCGGCCAACTGTGCAGTGAACGCCTGCATCAGGATTCCTGTGCCCAAATTCGATCTCCTCAGTGTAAGAAATGCACTGAGATGCTGGACAGATTCCTGTGCACAGCCACTAAATTGGCCAGGGGGCTTGAGTACATAGTATACGAGGAGAAGCTGAGAGAGGTGAGTTAGTTCAGTCTGAAGAATGAACCTAATGGGTTACCTAATGGTAGTTATAGAGAAGATGGACCTTGACATTTCTTGAAGGTTTACAGCAAAAAACAAGAGACAATCATTATAGTTGTGGCAATGGAAACTCCAACTTTCAATAAGGAGAAAAATCATTGTAAGCATGGTTAGACGCTGGAGTAGGTTGCCCAGAGAGATTGTGGAATTGCCATTGGAGCTATTCAAAGACCCATGGAAACCTAGTGCAACTTTGAAGTTGAATCTTAATTTGAAGTTAGCTCTGCTTTCAGTGAAGGGTTGTACCAGGTGACCTGCACTGGTCTCATCAGCATCAAGTATTCTCCAAGTTTATGATTCTAAAAGAGTAAATATTAAGAAATTTTGTTTTCTGTTGTAACATCTCACATATTTCATGGTGCTTGAGGCAATGTATTTTCCTCAATGTGACCATTGCTTGAAAGCCATTAATTAATATTTCTTTCTAACTTAAGCCCTTATAAGGCTAAACTTCATTTCTTTCTTTCAGCTTTGTCCAAACGGATACTATTTTGCCATTGATCCTAATGGGTATGTGCTACTTCATCCAAATCTCCAACCAAAGGTATGAAAAACCTTCTAATTTATTTCTCTATAGTAAGGGAACATTGTCAGGAATAATGGAAACATCTATGGTCTGCTGAAAGCAGATAATAAAGAAAAGCAATAATAAAGAATTTGCGCTTGTGGAGTTATCAGGAAAATCTGTGGGGCATGTATGTTTTCATCCAAATCTGCTTTAGTCAGCACAGAGGCCAGCATTGCCTTGTATTGAATTTGGTTATAAATAAAAATATGTATATTTTACACACACATTTATATATGTGAAATAAGTGTTTTAATATACATATTAATATAAAAACAACTACTGGTAGCTGCAAATAAATAGTAGTATACATATAAATATTGTAACAAATAGTTACAAGATACTCTCGAAGCAAACTGAGGAGTTTACTAGTGCACATGCTTATTTTGTGATGCTTTCTCATTTCAAAAATTGAAATTTTTGTAGTTATAAAACCACAGAAATCAGGAGCAAACACAGTTTATTTTACTTGTATTTTTGTATGTGTTTATTTGCTTATTTTCTGTTTACTAGAGCTTAAACCTGAGCTGCAGAGTTGGGATGGATCTAGCCAAACACTATTTCCTAGACTGCTAGATACTTTCATAGTTCAACTTAAGAAAGGTCTTCCATCTTTAAAAAAATAATCTTTATCTAAATCTGATTAGGATGCAACTTTCCTCAAATTCCAGGAAAATCTAAACCCAAGACTTCAGTCTGGCTTTATATCCATGAGGTGTAGTCCTGAACCTGTGGAGACTCCTAAATTCCATGCATCTTATTAAATAAGTTGTCTCCCTAGCTTTGATTAGCTATTTCAACATTAATGGGTCATTTTTTTTCTGAAATCAGGACTTGAATCTTTGTTTTAGCTAAGGGTTTCTCCATGCCAAACAATCTTCAGTAATGATGAATCACCATAGATACTGAAGACAAAACAATATATCCATGTAGTTCAGTTGTCAATATTAAAATTTCTAATTAAGATGGTTTGAGCAATATATGGCCAAAATAAATGCAAACTATCAATACAAGGCAAATGAGGTTTACAAACTTCAGTAGCACCCTACTCCTAAGTTATTTTTTAGCCCTTAGTACACTTCAGAGAAAGTGTACTTTAGAGAAAGTTCTGCATTTTGGTATGGAAGTACTGGGTTTTTGTAAGTTGGATGCATATCCATCGCTATTCCTCTCAGACATGTTCCTGTGGCAGAATAGCAGCTAATCCTTTAGCTCTTGGCTGTATGCCTGTCCTCTCTTGTTTCTTCACCAGAAAGTCCTACCATAACTACAAGAGGGATAGCAGACACCCTTTTCAGTACTTCACCATCTTTAACTGTCAAAGGCAGAGAATAAATGAAGAATTAAACTACATATTTTAGTGATTCATTTAATTCTTAAGATGAGAGAAGTCAGCGTCGTGAATATGTGAATGAATTTCGTGATGAAGTAATGAATAAGTTTGAAAGCTTTTGCCAAGTGTGTAACAAAAGAAGAAAGAAAAAGAATGCTTCTGAAGAACAGAAAGAATAACTCGATCTTCAGTATTGATGAAATATCCCTTTTGGTTTATTTTAGAAGGAGTCTTCAAAAAAAAAGGTTTTTTATATAGTTTTCATAATTTAGAAGGGCTTCAGTTTCTCAATATATGCAATAGGTTTTCATGTGTTCAAAAATGAAAGTTTTGATTTTCGTGAATTAGTCTGAGACAAATATATGCATCAATAGTGACTGAATCTTTTCTTCATTAGAGATTCTTCGAAATTCAGGGGATGATGAGTGGTCTATTAGTCTATCTTGTTAACAGAAGGAATATAAAATTAAGCAATGTAGTATTCTCATTTTAGGCACTGTCATGTGAGGAACTGATGGAAATGGATTCTGTTCATCTCATATATGTTATTTTACTGCAATGTAAACTCACAACACTGGAGAATAAATGACCTTTTTTGGAGAGTGAAAAATCCAGCTGATCTGAAGTAAATCTAGGCAGACTGAGATGGATTTTTTTTTTTTCCATCATGGCTTCTCTGTGTATTTTTCTACTTTAAAGAATAAGGAAATCCAGAGATGCTTTCACATATTGCTCAAATGTTTGATTTAGAATATGTTTAAAAAGGATATTTTATAAGTGATATGTTTTATGTTGTAGAATGTCTAAATATAATATAAAACATTTTCATTATTATTATTATTATTATTGTTATTGTTGTTATTGTTGTTATTAACAGTTACACAGACTAGACTTTTTCACTCCCAGTTTGTTTGGGGTGGTGCATGCTATTCAGACTGATACAAGAACTACGTTTTAAAACTAAGGTACACTACAAAGACAGATGTATTTAGAACTCATGGACTTTCTTTAACATTTCATATTAATTTTAGTTGAACTTCCTGGTAGTTGTTAACTTATTAACAAACAACATCTTAACCCTCTTTGCCAGCAATTTTTCTATAGGTGTAAACTAAAACATAACTACGTCTTTACCTTTGAGGAGGTGAGGGTGTATTAAAATTCCAATGGTTCCTTCTTCTGAATGTCTTCTACTTTCCTTCTGAAATTCTGTTACCTCAAATCAAAACTGGTTCAACACAATTAATATTTTGAGAAATTGTCTTGCAGTATCATCTCACAAAAGAAGCCCCTAGAAATTTAGAACTTGTAAAGTTGTTTGCACAACTGAGAAAATTTAACAAAAAGTAGGTTCAAAAGTGTATTGACATAATTAAGAACTTTTCTGTCTTGCTCTTACTTGCACATGAAAACTATATCAAAGCTTATTTGGCAAAATTTTTTTAGCTTTCAGTTTAAAATAGTTTTTAACTGCTTGTAATACCATTTTTTAAGTTTGTGCAGTTAGTTATGTTACATTTTTAAACAAACGCTTAATTTTATGTTTTATCCTGCCAATTTTCTTTATGTGTCTATGCATATGTGCATGTATTTTTTCCATTGTCCTGGGAGTGAACAGGTAAATATCCCAGCAAATAAACATAGTCACGGAAGTAGGTGCATTAAGCACGAGTTAACAAGATTAGTCTTAATTAGATAAGATTTGAAAACAGTAAGTAATTCAATTTCTGAATCTGTTCTAAAGATTAACATCCTTTGATTCATTTTCATTATGGTTCTGATCAAAATCCACTTAATGGTAATTAAAAAGCTTCAGATGCCTTCAGTAGGGTCCAGTATTTTCTCTAGTGGTTTATGGTTTTGGAAGAAATGTAAGAGGAGATGGTTTTAAAAGTAGATACAGTAGTAAACAAGAGGTGAAATGTTTCTTATTCTATATTTTAATTCTGGCAGGGTATGTGGGTAGAACCACTCTGATAACTTAATTTAGATTGTTTAACACGTTTGGTTTTTATTTCCTTAGACTAAACCTGTGTGTAATTTTGATAGGGAGCTCAGAACTCCTGATCGGAATGAGGGGTGGTTTCTGCTTCCAGTACATGTGCACTGGACAGTATAGATGTTGAGGGAAGAATTTCATTCTACAAGTAGGCTGTTTACTAATAGTGTAAAAATGTAAATTGCTACTTTTTTGTTACTTCAGCAAATTGGTGTGGGCATACCAAAAGTTAAATTGAGAAAAAGGAGACCCAATGTACAGGTAACTTTGGATGGAGGTGATTAGTGCATTAGAATGCATAGATCTGGAAATATAATTAGAAAGCTTCTGTCCTGCTTACTAGGAAATATCTAACTAGAGAACTGTTTTCTTTGACAAACAGCTTCGAAAGCATGAAGCTTGCATTCTTCCTTGTTCAAATAATAGAAAACATGCTATTGACTGTAGTTAAGGGTGTTTCATTAAATTATGGTGCTTTACTAATAGGTGCTAATTAGACCCATGCTGTAAAAATTACTCTTCAGATTTTGAAATGAATTTGAAGACTGGAAAAAAAAAGAGACTACTAGAGCTGGCTTTGCTTGCATAAACCCAGAATCAAGAGATCATTCTTACAGCTTTATTGCCAAGTTTAATTTTACAGTGTGTGCTGTAATGCTGTATAACGTTACAGAATTTGAAGGGACTCTTTTTTTTTTTTCTGGTGAAGTCAGAGTAGGACGTATATTTTATCTGCTCTTTACACCACATTTCTTGGTTTAGCAAATCCAGCTCCAGAGGATTAACTGCCATTAACCTGAACAGGGAAAAAGGAATTAGTAACATTTATGTAATGCAATCCCTGAGCAGAAAATACTTAGTGAATAGTTAAAAATCATTAAAGGAATAGAATAACTCTGTAACTAGCAAAATAACAAACTTAAGTACAGTATGTTAGTTTCTTACACATATGGGTATATATAATGCAAAACTGGTGGCTTGCAGAATACCACCAATGAAACGTGGTGTAAAATCCTGATCTAATTCAAGGCAGTGATTTCGCCAAGTCTCAAGTGGTTGTGTTTATACCACACATAGAAGACCACTTCTGAGCTAGATTTTTTTGTTTGTTTGTGCATTGGAGAAAGCAGCACTGGAACATAAAAAAATGGCAATTTTCTGAGCACCCCTGGCTCCTCAGCCTGCTGATGTATGATTTGGCTGTTGCTGAGTTTGGCTGGCTGTGCTAGCTACCCATGAAGGTGCAGCTCTGGTAAAAACTCTTGGCTCCCATCCACTCCAGATGCTCCTGGGTCTCCTTCTGGGGCCTAGGGTTTTGCTGCTTTCTTATTGTAATTTGTTTTAAAAGCCTAACAGCCTCTGTCTTCATTAGTACTGCAGGTATGAGTAGGAACTAGGCTCCTGCAACTCAGGGCAAAGAAGGCCTTCCTGAGAATTTGTGAGAATTCTGACCTCCTAAAACTCACGACGACTTTTTAATGAACTTTTTTTTAATGTTGCTGCACCAGTTCTTTCTTTCTTTATTTCCTTCTTGATTTCTCATTGAAGTAATAGATCTTTGCCTTTATTTGTCATGCTGAAAATGGATTGCACTCTCTTTATTTGCATGCTTCATGGCTAGTGATTTCCTTCTGTTTTGTTTTATTAAGTTGTGCTGGTGAATGTGGTGGTGTTGCGCTTATTCTAGTCATGTCACGTGCATGACTGGATAAAGAGAAGAGCAAACTGAACAGTAAGTTTGTGTCTTCATGGCTTGGAATAAACTCACTAAATGGCAACCTTGGAGAAAAAAAATATGGAGCCCAAATACTGGTAAAAGCACATTCTTTGGGGAAAAGACATAGCGGGGAAAATAGTGTTCCATTTAAAGTACGGGCCTAGGAATTTTCTATTCTAATCTCAAATGGATTTCTTTGTGCGTTGAGCACATCACATAATGTAACTATGCATGTTTAGTTTCCTTGTCTATTGAAAGTTATCAAAAAGTACTTTATCAAGAATGTAAGGCTTAAAAAGAACAAGAACAGTTAATGTATACTTGGATATTGACGGACTGTTAAAACTGACTATTTTGTCTTTGGGACTCCTCAACTATGTCTAGCCCAGGTTATCATTTGAAATGAAGATTGACCTTGATTTGATGTGATGGCTTTTGTTGGTTTGTTGCTTGGTTTTTTTTACCATTTCTTTTCTTCTCTGTTCCTTTGCGTGTTGGAATGGAATGTGAACTTCATAAATGCCTCCTCTGCCATGCCAATGCCTTCATGCATGCTGTTTGGGTTTGACCATTGTATTCATTATCCATTGCATGTAAGAAAATGTATTTTTAATTTATTTTTACATTTTAGCCTTTTGCTATTCATGTTGAGAATGTGAATTTGTTGGGGAGGAAGCAACTGCATAACAATAATTATATTGTTTTGAATTAATAGAGAGGATATGTTAATGCTATTATGTTAAAGTTGCTAGTTCTATCTAGCCTATATAAATAGCAACATAAGAATTTCCTTGAAGTTATCTGTAGACATTTCAAAGAAATACTTGGAGTCTTTGTCTGAAATATTTCCAGTGCATATTCTCTTTCTGAGAATAAATTTATTGGCTTTTCTCTTAGCAGACAGTAAGTCTTACTTGGTAAGAACAGGAATGATTCCAAATACCTAGGAAAAAAATCTACATTTGTTTCTCAGGAATATGAAGGAATAATCTTTTGTCTCATAACACTATTCTGTATCACAGTCTTGAAAATAAGGACTACTGTTAAGCAATTCGTGTTTTAGACATGTTTTCAGATGAAGACATCTTTTACCAGCTATTCAGGACATTACTTTCTTCCAGTACAAACTGGAAATACATACATAAATTGTGATGAAACATGATTGCATTCTTTGATATGACATTTGTCATCTACTTTTGCCAGAGAATGTTAGGATAGAGGGAATATAATAATTGTTCTGCAAGAAGGGACTTTAATCTACCCTGTAAATAAGTTAGTATAGCTGAATCACTGAAATCCCCTGAAATTTTCATTATCAGATATTACACTAGTCTTGAAATAACAGTATCAGCTAATTACATTTTTTGTGTTGCTAGTTGCATGAGAAACACTGCTCAGTTACTGAGAAAACTAGGGTTTTAGATCCTTTAATGTATGAACTGCCCTATTACACAAAGTAAATTATTATAACTAAAGAAAATTATATAACTGGACTTTTTTCATCTATTCTAAATTTTCAGATTTAAATGGTTAAATAATATATCCTCATACCCCTTTTTCTAAAGGTCTTTTGTTGGATGAGTGCATTAAATAACTACTGAGAGATGAGGATTGAGGATATTTACACCACACATAACATAAAGTTGATGAGGCTTAGCAAAAACGACTCAAAAAAAAAAAAAGAGTTGGATTCCTAGGAACTCATAAGGAAGATGTCTCTGTCCAACTAAATGCAGACTGCAACTGAGAAGGGAGTAGAGGCTGGAGGGTGGTCTGAGCTAGTTCAACAGAGCTACAGTGATCTTCCCACACTCCTGTGGCACCAAGTTTATTACAGATACAAACCACCACACTTCTCTGTGCTCCATAGTTGAAGGTTGGCATCATGTGCATTCCTTAGGTCTTGAAACTGCTGGGTCACAGTATTACTGTCCTCCAGGTTTCCATCTCTTAAATTGAGATAACAGTACTGATGTCAAGAGAAATGCATTCAAAAGTGCAACGTGTTCAGGGAAGTTCTGTAATGCTGAATTAAAAGTGAATTTAATTTTTTTATAACAAATAATTTGCTATAATTGCTGCCTTTTTGAATCTTGAACTGCAGTCATCATAACAGCAACTCTGTAGTCTGCTTTTGACAAAACTGCAGAAGAGTACAATTACCCCACCTTACTGTTCAGCTGAGAAACTCTCCCATATTTCTCTCTCCCTTCTTGAAGGCAAGACACCTAATGAGAGATTCACAGCTGATGTTTCCTCTGATGTGTCTTCTCTCACCCTTACAGTCTCTGACATATCAGCAGTAGGGGAAGCAGCTTCCCAACATGAGCCCCATACATGAAAGTCTGTGGATGGACACTTAGTAACTGTTGGTGTGAAATTGATTTTCACTTACACAATTAACCTCTTTATCCAATGAAATAAAATAAATGAGAAAGGTTCACTAGTAATTCATCATGTTATAAGAGATTAATATACATGGGTAAGTAAGCCCAGTTAAGTAATTTACTTTGAAATTAAGGGATTAGAATGATTTGTAAATTACAGTACTCTGTCTTTATTATTTGATCATTCAATATCTTCTGCTTCAGAATCCTAAATCCCAGGAGCCTGTTACACTGGATTTTCTAGATGCTGAATTGGAAAATGATATTAAAGTTGAGGTGAGATTATCTGGCTTTTTAGTACCTATTGCTGCTTGTATTTCACTGTATAATAACTGAAAAGCAGTGCATGTTCTAGACTTTGAATGGAAACCTATTTATCGATAAATTTCAATTTTAAATTTTTCAAGATGATGACTTTATAGACAGATGAAGTTAAAATTAAAGAAATTGAGACTCGGTATTATTCGCTGTGCCCGAAATCAAAGTGTTTTATGGGATGTTCTCACTATGAACAATATATCAGAGTTGTTGCTTCATAATTCTACTGATGCAGTATATATTTGGATAAAACAATTTCAAATTAGAAAAATCTGAAAATTGTAAACTTAACTTTTTTTTTTTTAAGGGCTCTGACTTTCATATGTGTTACCATTTTCTGTGTTTCTATGAAATATTCTGAATCACTGAAAAGATTATTCATGCTATGTGCAACACCTAGTTCTTTTTTATTTTTCTTTCTTGCCAATAGATTCGGAAAAAAATGATAGATGGAGAAAGTGGAGAAAAAACATTTGAAACACTGGTCAAGTCCCAAGATGAGGTAAGACAGGAACACAGGCAATTACATTTACAGGAACAAACAAAACCAGAAAAATGCTGTGAAATTATGAAAAGATGTTAATTTTGTAATGTTAGTTTGTATCATTTTTTTCCTTCTAGATTTGCTAGTTCTACTGGCCTATAGTAAAAGAAATTATGTGCTTATCAAAAGAAGAGTGATTTTGTTTCTTGGTTTCTTTGGTGCATCATTAATCAGGAAGTTGTTGATGAAGTCTTACAGTCTGTTCACCAGGAAGTGGACCCAGCCTACTTCCGTGTGTGAATCCCAAACCAAAGTATTTAATTTGCTTGTGAAGATGTGTGAGGATGTGTCTGGTAGTTTATATTGTGGCTGAATGGGAAGAAAGTAGTGAGAAAAATATAAAACATTTCGATGCCATAAATGAAGACTATTTAGGATAAGCAAATTCTTACAGTTTTATTATGCACTTGTGTTTTCTGAACAGTGTGTTGAGTTCTTTATTTTCTTGTCCAAAATGCTTATTTCTTAAAAACATTGCTACTGATTTATCTAATAAGGCAGATATGTTTCCTAGCAATAGGAAATATTCGAATTTGTGATGGATTCTCCACTTATTGGGCACCTTAATGAGACAAAACTATGACTGGTGTGCCAAAGAAGCAGTTCTGGTGAGAGTATGCTTCACAGTTACAGCTCTACAGCAGTTTTTGAAACTGTGAAGCAAATATAACATCAAGCAAACACTACACAACCGTTATACATTGAAGCACACCATAACAAGGTGACACCCAGTACTGAGCAGCTCCTATTACTAGGCCTCTGATTCAATTCTGAATTGGCAGAAGATTCTTATACATTTATTTTCCTTTTGAAATAGAAAAAAAATACTTCATAGACCTAGTCTATTTTTGCATTAAACATGGTAGGGACTTCTCTTTGTGGGTGAGAATCAGCAGCAATGCACGTGTTGCCTTTGCTAGATGAGGCTGAAAAGGGAGCTGAATTTTCTGAAACAAGTCTTGATTGTTCATCCATGCTATAATTTCACAATGTCAAATTCACAGATCACAGTTCTGCAACAGATCTTTGGGAACTTACTTAGAATCATAGAATTATGGAATAGTTTGGGTTGGAAGGGATCTGTAAAGGTCATCTAGTCCAACCCCCCTGCAATAATCAGAGATATCCTCAACTAAATCAGGTTGCTCAGAGCCCAATCCAACCTGACCTTGAATGTTTCCAGGGATGGGGTATCTACCACCTCTCTGGACAACCTGTTCCACCACTTCATCATAAAAAATTTCTTCCTTATATCTCTTTAGTTTAAAACCTCTTCTAGTTTAAAACCATTATCCTTTGTCCTATTGTAACAGGCCTTACTAAATGTTTGTCCCCATCTTTTTTATAAGCCTCTTTTACTTATTGAATGGCTGCAGTAAGGCCTCCCTGGAGCCTTCTCTTCTTCAGTTTGAGCAGCCCCAACTCTCTCAGCCTTTCCTCATAGGAGAGGTTCATTTTTGTGGCCCTCCTCTGGAGGCCTATTCCAACAGGTCCATATCTTTCTTGTGCTGAGGACTGCAGAGCTGAACATCTCATGACCATTCCTCAGCCTCTTAGTATCTGCACCGGATTTGACAAAGCATACTGCTTCTGATAGTGTAATTTAAAAGGAGTGCAAATAAGGACAGGAAACCAGGCTCAAGATCTTCACAACTGTGCAAATCCATCAGAGGCATTGCGCCCTCCCAGCTCCAGGCTGCTAGAGCCAGAATAAAGCTGCTTCAGACCATGGGCCGTGCATGAGCCATGCATCAGTTAGGGCTTAGTGGCTTCATGTATTTTCTCATGAAAAGGGCTGATGTGGTCAATTGCTCTGAACTGACAGTTGCAGTCTTGAGGCTTAAAATTGATGTTCTTTTTGTTTTGCCTTTTGGTGTAAGTTTGCATTGCTTTCCTTTTGTATTGCAGCTGGCCCCAGCAGTGTCTTGGGAGATGAGCTCATACTGCAGCATAGAGATAGGACTCATAGCGAGTGTGGGTGGGGTGCATTGGAGTCTCCCAAGGCCTCAGGGACTTTCCAACTAGCAGAGAAGATACCATAAGAACAAAAGCATTGCCACATTCAGGCAGCCGGGGTGGGCAGCAGTGAAAACGTAAGGGTCACAAAAACTGCAATGACATGTGTAAGTTCTTTGGCAGTGACCAGCTGGGGGGAAATGGTCTCAGAGTGCTCAGTAATGAAGCAGGCAAAAGTAAATGGGAGGTCACGTATGAAGATGTGTGATCTCCTGGATTATCTTTGAAGGAAGGTTTCAGCCAGTTTGTTTTCAAGCAAGTTTACAGCTCTGGATTCAATGAGAGCCCAGTTTTTCTCCTCCTTCCCTCCCACCTTGGGCACTGCTTTTCTCCTGCCACTGTACATGGTGTGCAGCCCATGGCTCTGTGCATGATTTGGAGGGAATGCCAGCACTAGGTTCAAGTGCCTGCTTATTTCGGAACTGAAGTTATAGTATAGACACATTATTAAATAAAAATAGGCTTGGATAGTAATCTCTTCAGCCATCTTTTTACTTTAAATGTAAAATATATCAGTGCATTAGACACTGATACATGCATACTTTTTCTCTTTTCTGTTTTCCTTTATACCTTATTTTTTCTTTCAAAATGACTGTTAAATTATTTACACTGTCATGCTGTGCTGAAAAGCAGCAGCCAGGTAATGAGAAGATTTCAAATCATAAATGTCAAAAAAGACACCTCTTCTTCAAAACCACGGTCATTTTCACACTTTTGGTTTACTGCAGGGAAAGAAAGAACTTGGACTTATACCTGTGGTACTTTTCACCGATGTTTGTAATGTTGCAGTGCAACAACTGCACAGATTTCATTGCTGGCGTACTTACAGATGTCTGATTGTAAAATAATAATATGTTGCAGCTGGCATAAACGTGTAGTTTTCAAAGTGGAAAATTGAGTAAAACCATGTCAGCCAGATGCACTAATGATTAAATCTATGGGGAATTGTGAGACTGTGGCTATCACGTCATTTTTCATACCATAATGAAATAAATAGTAAGCTTATCCTAATGTATTGTTGTTTAAAAATAAACATGTACTTCCATGTTAAATTTTTTGCAAATTCTAAAGCCACCTAATGTCATTAGAAACATATACAAGTTTAGCATGGGGTGCCTAAACAATTAGGACTACCTGGCTGTGCCTGTGGATGCGACTTAAATTTAAATGCATTTAGCCAGGGGTACTCTGACCTGAAAGGCACTGGGCATTTTTTTGTTGTTAAAGAGTTACCTGCAAAGTCTTTATAATCAAAGTTTTTTGTTTCTGTAGTTTAACTCCAAAATGTTCTATAAAGGAGATAACAACTTTTATCAAATTTAAATCACATCACAAAATGTTTGCATAGGCCTGGTTAATGAATTTAAAAGGGAGAATTATAGGTCATGTTTGCTTGGTTTTAGTTAAATTTGTATTTCTTTAATGTTCAATAAAAAGTATATAGGTGATCCTTTTGCATAATACAGGTTTGGAAAATGCTTAAGAAAAGGAGTTGCAGCTCAACTCATGCCTTTAGCAAAATAATAAATAGAATTCCAACAGATTTGTACCTGACTTTACACTGTATTTCTCAAGAAAAGGGCACATTTATTGAAACGTGAAAGTTAATTTATCTTTTCACCAATATCTCTTGTAGAGGTATATTGATAAAGGAAACAGAACATATACATGGACTGCTGTGAATGGCACTGATTACAGGTAACTCATTTCTGTTCTTGACTTCTTTTGTGTAGTTAAATCTCCTTTTTGTTTATTTTGTTTAGTATTTTAGCATTGCATCTTCTATAATGTAAGTCAGGACTAGATTGTCTTGTGTTCAGGTTTGTAGGATGTGCTGGGTTCCTTTACAGTTTAGAATTGTTGCTCTGTCTAAGGACCAGAATCTCAGTCTTTCATCCAGCTGTTCAGATTTATCACTGGGGTATTGCAGTATGCAGGAAAAAGACGTTTTAGTCATTGATGTTAAGAATCTTAATTTTCCTCCTACTTTCTGTATCACACCATACTTTGATTTTGAATTGTACTCTTTCTCTTAAATTCTTCCTCTTATTTCATCTGTGTATTGTTCTTGTTTTAGTGTGGATCTTAAAAAGATCCTCTGCTCTGCTTTGGTCTAAATAAAAAATGTGACACATTTTGTGCAGATCTTTTTTCAGTTACAGTCATTGATTATATCACAACTTTGCCAACCTTCATGTCAGATCTTAGGGGCAGGAACCATGCTACTGCTTGTCTCTGAAATCCATATCTTTTTGTGATGAGTTTAAACTAATTATCACTGATAGTGTAAATAAAAACTACATGGTGAATGTCAGCAGTCCAAATAAAGTAATGGGTAAAAGCACATCCCCCCTTGAATGAAGCATTAGTGTGTATATTATTTCAAACTCATTTAAACACACAGCTCTGTAACATTAGAATGGATACAGAAACTTGATGTTACCCAGAACAAATTAATGTTTAGCATGTTCCAGAAAAGTTAAACTATTCTAGTTCATACCTAGATTATACAAATATTGAGTCAAATTTTTACGAAAACAATCTTTTTATTGTAGTGAATTACAGTAGTCCCCAGCCAAGCTAGTTCCCATTTTCTGTTATGTTCTGTACAGACAAGGAGAATGCAAACATTAATTTGTATGTAAAACCAAACAAATTAGTTTTAACAAGAGAATGCAAAGGTAGGATTTTTACTCAGCATCCTATTTTTCTGTTGAGCTGCCTCTGTGTTTATACTCTGTAAGAAAAGAAAGTTTTTTTATTAGACTGTGCCATCTAGCAATCATTAAAGAAATACATTTAATTTATATGATCTCTTAATTCTTACTTAGCTCCCTAGCGTGAGACACAGCAATAAAACCATGGAATCACATTGCAGCAAAACTATTAAACATAAAATTATAGATTTTAATTAGCAGTTTCTGCTAGCAGTAACTGTTAATGACAGGTAAACTGCTACTGATTTCCCTTGAGGAGAATTGGTAGAAGGCTATCACTAAATATTCAGCGATCTCACTTACATTCTGTTTAAATGACAGATAGATGTATCATTAAAGGTCATCTCATTTATGGCTCAATTGTATAACTTTTTTAATGTTAATTTCTGCAGCTATCCATTTGAAACCATTTCAGTTTTACAGTGATGAAATCTGAGTGCAAAAATCAAGGGTGCAATATGAGAGATGATGATACTGCTTTAACGATTGCTCGTACCTCCTGTCCTTTACATACCTTCTTAGAACTAAACTCTTCAATACATGTTTTGAATTTAGTTGCAAAAAAGCCCTGTATTTTTTGATTAAATCTTGCAAATATTAAAATGTTATTGCATAATGATGTTCAAAGGTTTTTAGTGTTGATTGCATGATTCAAGAAAATATTTTGCATCTTGAATGTAATGTGACGTCAAGATACATTTTCTAATGAATACCAATAGTTGTTTTATTAGTAAAAGGACAGTCTGTCACTATATGATGCCAGCAAATCAGTGCAGTGTTACATGCTTGTTTTCAGTCAGTGATCACTTTGACATGTTACGCTGGGATGCTAATATGTGTAGGAGAAAGAAATCACATGTTTCATTATTTGCAATTGTTTCATTATTTGCAATTATTTGGAAATTCCTTGCTCATCTGTTAAAAAGTGCATTTGTGCTTAAAAGCATAAATAAGAAGGAAAATAAACACAGAGAACTTCAGGACCAGCATGAATCCACTTGAGTTTATTACAAAGTGTGAGACTGGTGTGTCACTATATGACTATCTCATCTCATGATAATCCAACTTCCAAACGTGTTAATTGCGTTCAAAACACATAAAAGCTGAAACTGAAAAAGTGCCGCAAATAACACAATTGCTTTATTTGTCTCCTCTTTATTGCAGTTTGGCATTGGTGTTACCATCATACAGCTTTTATTATATTAAAGCCAAAATAGAAGAACCGATAACTCAAGCCAGATGTAAGTACTGTGAAGGTTCCCTGGTTTTGTCTAGTATTGCCAAGTCTCGGATTCACTTAAAAAAACAATGTTTAAAATCCATAAATTTTGTGGAATTCACTGATGTTATCATGATGTACCCAAAATCTACGGCAATGATTCTAACCCATTGTAACATCCAAGGTACAAGAAATATTCTATGAAGATAGAATATGTGCAGGTACCCTAGTTCCACTGACAGCCCCTTCCCCCTTGCTCTGTGCCTCTAGAATCATTGCTTTGTGTATCCTCTGTTGCTGTCATTTTAAGGGTCTGGATACTATTTTTTTCATTCTGTTAGCTAAATGTCGTGATATAGACTATAGAAGTAAAGCATTTTTTTTGTTATTTTTACAGTTGTTACAGTATAATATGTAGCAAATTGTCTCTGCTGCCCGTAGGAGTAAATTAATGTGGAAGCACAGTTTAGTTTGGCTTGCAGCTGGGTTTTTATTCTGCATTTTACAAATAGTTTTAGTGGATGTTTGTAATGTATTTTTGGAATAGACTAATTTCAAGCCATTTACAGATTCTGGAGAGATAATTGGAAATTTTACTTGTAAGTATTCAAATGTCTTTTGTTTATTAGGTGTAACTTAAGTGTAATCTAGATAGTAGGCAAAATACAACCTGTCACATCCTTTTAACTTTATCTAAGTGTTACGATAAACTTGGACAAATATATAGTTAAATAGAAAGTTAGAAAAGCAATATAAATCTCTCTGACAAGCCTAGGTGCTCTTTAGAGAAAACTTGGTTAGTGCTAAATCACTATCCTCCACCGTCACCTCCTGCATATGAAGTAGAATATTGCAAGTTTTTAATATGCAGTGATTTATTTTGTAACTTTGTCAAATAGTAAGCAGTTAGTAGTTTAAAATTAAAGTTATAGTGAATGAATATGTTTCTCTTGATGGATAAAATCATCTGGTTTTGCACTTATATCAATATAACCTGCTAAACAGACCCTTGAAATAGCCACAGCATATAGAAGGTACTCGAGAAATAATTGAGAAGGACATACTCTTCAGTGTTCAAAGTTGTTTGTCTTTTTTTCCAGACTACAGCTGTATGTAAATTGAACCTTTGATCTTTCTATGCACAATATTTTTATTCAAGGGGCTGTTTGAATAAAATATTGGTTTGTGACCCCTTTTGCTTTACCCTGTTTTTTTCTGTTTCCCTGCTTTCTCTTTCTGATGGATAGTGGCAATCAAAAAGGGCAAGTATATTCTTGTTGCTCAATTTCCTTCTGTTTACTGCAGTTGATAATTTCACTTATATTCTACTCCTACTGGATATTCTCCTCTGTATTCTTCATCTCAGGATTCTTCCCATGATCATTGGGTACCATAGCAATAGAAATAATAATTTAAAAAAAGATATCAAGTGTTTTTCTGTTTTCATGCACATTTCAATATGTTGCTAATCTCTAATCCTTCTTTGTCTGGTCCTATCAGTGTTCAGTGATGCCAGTTTTAAAGACCATTCATTTCAGTAGCATTGAAAGTGATGCTTATATGGATGAGTTTTTTAAGCTTTAATGCAGAAAAGACTAGAGGCTTTTTGCTTCGTGTTCTAACAACTTGATGTCCCAAATATTTCTTTGTATCAGAATGTAATTTCAATGAAAACATCTCATATGTTTTCATGTTGTCATGCTAACGAAATATCTTCTCTAAGTAAGTTGTTAAATACATTATTGTTTCCAGGTGTATGTTCTATATAATAATCAAGTAATTTCTTCCTATACTGTGTAACACTGAGAAGTATACAGTATATTAGTAGGACAGTGTCTCAAAATAAACATTTCCTTCTAAATTAATGGATGCATGCAGAAGCTAGGCAAATATTTTGAGAAGAAAAACAATGGCAAAAAGTCCAGTTTACTTACTTGTTTTTCACTCTTCATCTTTGTAGTTTCAGAAACGCTGAAGCTTGATAATTTTGATGAAGCTGGCTATACATTTATAGCACCAAGGTTGGTTAATTTCCCAGTAATAAGTATTATTTCTGCAGTAAAAAGGCATTTGAACAGATTAATCACATTTAGAAAATACAGGCTTGACAAATAAAGTTGCATTTTAGTAAAAAATATTAAGTTAAAAGAGCAGTTATTAAATTCATGTTTTACATGATCAATCTTCTCTTCTTGTTGGAGTGTAAATAGAATTTTCAGGATCTACTTCCTGTTTATATTAATCAAAGAGAGCTGTAAAATCTGATATTGATATTTTAATGGAAAACTTACACACAGCTGTTCATTTCTTGCAGTTCTGACTTATGATTTTAAAGCTTTGTACCTTAGCTTCTCATTTGTTAAATAGATAGTATAATACTTACCTTGAGATGTTTTCCCACTTCAACTTAAAGTGTTTCAAAGCTCTCTGTCACTTAGGGATTAATTAATTTTTGGTTAATTGAGAATAAAAGAAATATTGAGTTATTGAAAATTGATCAAATAAGTTTATTAGTTCTCTGTTTTTTCATGTGAAATTGTGTAGTCCTCATTGCCCATGTAAATGTTTGTTTGCAAGGGAAACATAGTATGATAAATAGTTCTTAAAATTAAGTTCCTTTAAATGATAGTTATGATAAGTGAAGGAAATTTTGTACTATCAATATCAACTAAGAATTGCTGCATTTCTAATATCACAAATTTCTGTATTCTTTCAATTTCAATAAATAGATTGATTCATTTGTAAAACATAGTCTTCTATCTTCAAATGTATTCTCAGCTTAAACTGTTCAATTTAATTTTTCTGAAGGACCAAAGTTACTCATAATAAGTTGCACTAATCAGCAGTTTCCAGCAAGTCCACAGTTGTTAGGCTGATCTACATGGACAAAGCCTGTTTGATATGGAGCTCTGTTTAAATGCGAATGTTGGTATAGTAAAGCAAATTCTGCCTGTAGTCTTTTGGGATCATGGTAAAGTAAGTAAAGGGTAATAAAATAGCTTATTCATATAAAATACTTGAACAGACTTCTTTTGTTCATTAAATTAATTTCATATAGAAAGGTCATTTAAAAAGAGAGCTCCATGCTTTACTTCTGAATACTCTCTACTTTTTAATTAAAGTTGTTTAATGCCACTCGCCATCTAATATTTGCCTTCAAAATGCCCAGTGACTTTTATTGTGCTTTCTTACATTCAGTGATTTGCTCAGTGATATATAGCTTTATTTTATTATATTATTTAAAGAGCAGTAGTTTACTGCTTATCTGTTTTGCATATGTCAAAACAAAGTGTGTTTATATGCTTGTATGGTGTGTTCCCTATTAAAATTGCCTTTAAGACTTCTCAGAAGATAGAAACCTATCCCATAAATCCACCCTTAGTTGAGCATGAAGTGACTATGTTTTAATCAGCAGTCCATGTACAGTTTAACCCAGGAGCAGTCTAAATTCACTGACCATTTTCTTGTTTATTTACTCTATGATCTCCTAATTTCATGGCCTACACTACTCCTGAGTGCTGTTTCGGGGAATCTATGCGGAATCTCATGCATATAGCTTACTTACAATTCATATTTAGGCAGGCACTTGAACATTTTATTTCCTGTAGATGCCTGAAATATTCAAGGTGGTCAACATTCAATACTGACCATGGTAGTCAATTTATTTAATAGTGCCAGCCACCTCATTGGAGTAGCACAGTCCTGCTTGGACTTTAAAATTGCTGAGCTGTATTTGTCTCCTGTAGTAGCAAAGAAAATTAATCTGAGAAGTCTGATGTTTTGTTGTTTTTTCAGAGAATACTGTAGTGATGTAAAAAAATCAGAAAACAACACTGAATTTCTATTGAATTTCAATGAATTTATTGACAGAAATACTCCAAGCAGTCCATCATGTAAGTATTCTCAATTTACAGAAATATTTCTTTAGGAAAATACTTACTCATAGCTGAGAATTAGTCAAAATGACAGCTTTCTGGCCCAAATCATGTGGTTTTGTTTTTATCTTCAACGATTTTTTTTTAGTAGAAATATGTCTAGTGTTGGGATTTTCTATTCAAGGCAGAGATTGTAAAATTAGTTTGCAGTTTTCTGGGTTTACTTAAGAAAGTTTACAGGGCATTATGGATCCATTGTTTTCCACAGTCCCTCTCAGCATTCTGTTTTAGCAGCAAAAAACTACCAGTTCATTTTAATACACTGCAAATATTTTGAATTTATAGTTTTTTCTCTTGAGCACATGAGCCAAGGTATGTCTCAAATAGCCTTCAATGTCTTGTAATGAAATCTTCAGTTTGCTTTCTTGTCAGTGTATATAATCATAATAAGTAAAAAAAAGGAGCTGAGAACCAAAATAATCAATGACCAGAATAAAAGATAAGGAAGTTCTATTGCTGGTTCACAAATTGGTTAAGGAGATATCCCTTGGACTTGAGTTGTTTAAGACCACAGGTTCATGTAACTGATGCTGTGGTAAGCACTGGGCTTTGAGAACGTACTCATACATTTAAATTCATCTTTAAACTCCATTTAGAATATGAAGAGTTATGATTTTGAATGAACCATTAGTAATGTATTGACGACTTGTTCTTATGAAAATTTCAGTGTTTGGAATAAACATTTTCTTTGTCTTGCATTCCCCAAGTCTTTTTAACATGTTGCTGTCAGGGATCACTGATCAATTCAATAAGAATCTCTCTGCTAGGTCATGTAACTAAAGGAATGTGCACTTAGATAGGAGTTAGTCTCACAAAAGGCCTTTTTTGTGTCCATGTTTGGGTGTTTGTTGTTGTTTTTAATAGAGTAATCTTATTCATTGACACAATGCTGACTGAAATTCTACTTGAGTCCCTTAACTCAGTCTTGGAAATGAAAACGTTCACCTCAAATTATTAAACCTGATAATAAATGAAAATTCCAATTTAATATTCACTAGTTACATAAGGTAATATTGAGAACACATTATATTGTAGTATGCACTAGGGCTCAGTAAGTAATTATTACAAAATGTTATCAAATTATTGCAATATTTCATTTTGGAATCCACCAAAAAAAAATTCGCCTTTTTCCTTCTTTTTTTTCTAGTAATTAAGTTACTTAAATTGAAATAATCTGTATACTGGAAGCTTAATGCCTCTTATATTTTGACTCACCTCATTCAACTTTATCCTGTTAGAAGTTGGCCAGAAAGATAAGTAACTACCTCTGTCATTACTAAGGGGACAGTAAGATCAGTTATGTACTGGGCAGAGCTTCCTGCTGGTAAATCAGAGCTACTGGCTTTGTGTCACGGTGGCACATTTAGGCTTCAGTGGATTTTATGAAAAAGCTTTTTTGCTAAAGCTTACAAAGCTTTTCAATACTCAAATACATGTCCCCATTGATCTGTTTTGTGAAAACAGATTGAATTAGGGCAAAAAAAAATAAATATCAATATAGTTTTTCTGGAATCTGAGACTTAAGGTGAAGCACAGCGCATGTCATGGCTCTCAATGGAGCAAAACTGAAGAAAAGTTGGTAGTTTATTTTTCCCCAGAAGGAATTTTCAGTCTCCTCAACAAGGCTGAGCTCCTGTCAGTCACGTAAGAGCTGATTTACCAGCACTGATTTACTGTGTGACATTGAAGACCAAGAGCTAGATTTTCTCTTCACATTATTCAGCTCCAATTTAGCAGTGTTTCTTTTTTTTTCCATAGTGATAAAATCTGTATTAAAGTATGTGCTTACTTCTGCTGACAATTCCTAGAACGTTCTCTTGCAATGTGGTACCGAAAAAGATGCTTGAGAAGCACTGACTTCAAACCAATGTTTTAAAGATTTTTAAAAGTGACATATCCATCTAAACTACTAATTCAAATTAGTTTACTTCCCTATACTCATTTTCAGATGGCAAATAGGCCTTTTTGAGAGGTTGAGACTTAACTGGTTTAAATATATTTATATTGTAGTTGATTTATCTCTATTTTTGTAGTATGTAAGAAAGAATTAAGTGTTGCTTCATTGCAGCATCTGAGATAAAAATTGTTTGAATGAAAACATGCTTTAAAAATAGGTTAATTTCCAAATTTAACATAGGACGTGTATCGTTACCACATGGCTTACTACTATGACACAAATGTCAGGTTTTTAGGATACAATGAAGGAAAAGTTTAAGTGAAGTCAGCAGTGTGAAAGCAACCCATATAACAACAAGCACTTGATGTAATTTGAAATTAGTATGTCTAACAGAAATAGCCCAATTTTTGTGGCTGTAGCATGTTGACAACTCAGAATTTCATTTTATCCATTTAATGAATCTCCATGTCATATGGTTTCAGATGAGTTTCTTGACTCTTTTCACAGGTAATACTGATATGGTCATTAGAGTGTTGCTGGATGCAGGTTTTACAAATGAACTTGCCCAAAATTATTGGAGTAAACTATCTCTGTAAGTATTGTTCTTATTAACTGTGATTTCTTTTTTTGCATGCATTTCAAAATTTGGTAATAAATTAAGACACGTGTCTGTATCTACAGATACAAAGTAAATGTTGACACAGGATAGATATTTAATTTACAGTTATGCCCTTAAATTACAACCCTTGACATAGAAACTTGGCAGAATTTTAGACAGTTTTCATTTTAAATCTTGTTTTTGTTTACAGTGGTGGAGTTGTTGCACAATTTGTTGTTACAGATGGTGGAATTACTAGAGTGTTCCCAAAAAGGTAACAGTTATTATAAAATACTAAAATATGTTATTTTTGAAACATGAAATGATACAATATTAAAAAATTTCTTAATTAAATGAAAAAAAACTTCCTCTGCAGTCTGATCTGTACTGATAACTGTGAAACGAATGGAATGTCTTGTTTTGATTCTGTTTTAGCTGTGTCACTGCTTGAAACTGATCTGTAATATTATTTCTGTAACAGATACTTGTAGTCCAACTTTCTGATCAGTGTACAGTAGCAGTAAAAGCAGTGCCCTTGTGGTAGTAGTGGGACCAGGCTAATCTCTAAGTACTCCAAAGTACTCATTTGTTTGCCACGCTGGCAGGCTGCAAATACTGTAAAGCAGTAGGTGATTTTTTTTTTTTTCAGACAAATAGGAGCAGAACAAATGGTCCAGGGCCTTCAAGAGAGAAAAAAGCATCATAACCAAAGGGCAAAAAGGGAATGTGAAATTGGTCATAAAATCAACTAAACATCCCCATCAGTGACTGGGAATTGTGAGGGCACCAGTACAGATAGCATGGCAAATTTATCTATTTTCTTAGGTTATTTTGTGTTTCCTCAAAAAGAGAAAATGCCAATGATTTTAACTCCCAAAATCAGTTTCTTTTTTGTTTTGGTATTGTTAATGATATATAATTTTTTGGGATGATTTCTCAAGACATAACATGCTATAAAGGTTTATATATATTTTGTTGTATATATTTGTCCCAGTATATCTAAAAATTATCTATGTTCCATTAATACTTTTTTTTTTTACTTTTTCCCCTAAAGTATTTTTATTAAATATACCTGGCAGTTTACCAGTGAAAGCTGACAAAGTCTGAGGAGTATATGAATTAATCTTACATTATTTCCAACTGTGAAACATTTAAAAAAAAACCCCAAACTACTGCAGCACAACTTTAGTGAGATGCTATCTATCTTTTTTTTTAATCACTGGTTTTTTTGTGTTTAGGGCAGGAGAAGATTGGTTGGAAAATGCTGAAACTTATGAAGTCAGCTTCTATAAACGAAGTTTAGACAATGACAACTATATTTTCACAGCTCCATACTACAACAGTAAGTCAATGCTGTTTTGAAATGTTGTCCAGTACTTGTTGTCCAGTGTACTTGTGGAAATTTCCCATACTAGTTGAGGTCACTGACAAAAGTGCAAGTGGGAAACTTGATAAGCAAAAGAATATTGGGACATTGTCCATTATTAAGAAAAAGTTAGCAAAGGGACATAATAATTTGTCTTTGATGGCACCGTATGCCAAAAACAAAGGTGAAAACATGCAGAGTAATGGTGTTCATTTATTATACTGAAAGACTCTTTTACAAAGATGATTTGGCAGAGTTATTTGAAAAGGAAGTGAATAAAATTGCACTTAATAGCAATAACACTACCTAAAAAAGCTTTATTTGAGCCAAGTTCTGTATACTTCCTCAGCACCAGACCTGATTTGGGAGAGCAGGTATAAGGGTGCAGAGTCCTCGACTCTGTACACTGCACAGCTGCTTAATTTAAACTTTACTTTTGAGTTCTGTTTCAAATTGCTGTTATTCACCAAAACCAACTTGTCTGAAATACTATATATGCCCAATAGTAAGTGCTCACTACTAATGCGAGCAGCATTAACCTTGCCAAGCTCATCTAAAACCAGATCCTACTGCGAATTACATACTCCTCTCTTAAACATATGGGATCTTTTATTGTTGTTATTACATACTTACTTATTACATCTTTTCTCAATAAAATATTAACAAGGTGATTAACTAAATTCCCTGAAGCCTTTGTTGTTCCTCAAAGAGTTCCAGAGAATGTACTTTTAACTTGCTTTTTCGTACTAAGCCGTGTTGAAAACAGGCTGAAGACCATCAGAGGAGTAATTGTTGGTCAGTGAGTGGTGTCAGTATAGCCTGTATTGAAAAATACACAGCAGACAGCAGGATAAAATCTTTGGCTCTTATCCTGGCTTTCACAGAGCTGCTCACATGTGTAAAGCTATTCATGGCTCTGCTTGCAGAAAAGAAAAGGTCTACAGCAACTTTACAAAGCAGGGCTACAGTAACTACAAAGCAGTGAAACCACGTACGAAAAGTGAATGAAGAAAGGTACGCAAAAGTATTCCTCTTAGTCATTCAGATGTTGGTGATCTGAGCTATTACAGCCAATAGCCAATGCATAGTACAACTGAGTCAGTGCTTTTGAGTAAGGATTTTTTTTAGTAATGCTGAGTATTTGAATATTAATTAATATTAATAATTTCCCTTTCAGAGGAACAGACTTTATATCACCCTAACCTTCTTTTTCCCTCTTCTGTACTCTCAGAAAGTGGTGCCAATAGCTATGAAACAGGTATTATGGTAAGCAGGGCTGTGGAAATAACAATTGATGGGAAGCTTCTGAAACCAGCAGGTAAGACAGAACGGTGCTGAAACTCTAAACAAATTAGTAGTTTGGTTATTGCTCAACAGTGGATTACAAATTTAATTGAGATTTCAAACAAACTTTACTTTATATAGCATTCTTTTCTCTGAGACTGTTTTAATCTTGCTAGTTGAAATCAAGCCAAAGATCTGGTTGTGTTTGAGTAAGAGTGCTTAATTTATTAGTCTCATGAAGGATGTTGGTGGTCAGACAACAGAGCAAAACTCATATTTTATCCTTTTCCAGTTTAATAATTTAGATGTTATTATAATATTTCCCTTTTTTAGGATTTTACAGGGTTTGTTTTGTTTTGTTTTGTTTTGTTTTTTATTTTACTAAAAAAGACTTTCATGTATTTCTTGTTAGTTGTTGGAATAAAAATTGACACAAACAGCTGGATGGAAAATTTCACAACAACCACAATCAAGAGCCTGGTAAGCAATTGACCAAATCTTTTTTGAACTTTATTTGCATTTCTCAAAGCTTCAGATCCAAATAGGTCTAATAGCTCTTTGTGCCAGAGTCACACTGATGCATAGTTGCCAAGTAGTTGTATCATCCAAATCCACAAAATAAATCTATATTGAAACAGGCTGTATTTTCTACATGTCTTGCTTTCATAATTATAGAACATGGATAAAGACAAAGAAAAATGACATATTCCAGGCAGTATGCTCCTTACTAAGATTATGCTGTAACAGTGAATAAAATCTGCAAAAGAATTGTTTTTTATAAAAACCTAACAACAAACCAAAACAAAACAGAAAGAGATTATTCTATTTTTATTTAATATGGAGGATAGGTAAGCAGTGAACAGTAAGGAGATATATATCTATATATATGGCAACCAACATCATAGCGTTTTAGTATATTATGAAATAGAAATAGATGCTTAATCCTTGTATTCCTTACATCTGATGCTTAGGTGTAAATGGGAAGGAGGCTAAACTGAAGGAAAAACTAATTAATTAATGGTACACTGGAAAGGGAGAGGCAAAAAATGAAAGGCAATTATGGCACAGTTGAATGAGGCAATGTTGCTTCGTTAAGGAAATCAATAACAGTGTCTGGTTGGTTTAGGTATTAGAGCTGCAGTTGAATGGGTAGACAAATGCAGTGCCTAAATGTCAGAAGAGTTATGAACAAAAATAAATAACTGAAAAAGAGAGAGGAAGAGGAATGTCTCAGAATTCATTGGAGATGAATGGCTTCAGCATTATCTTGTTTTGCTCAGGACATAATGCCAGGAGACAGTTATGTGTGTATGAATACACATATTGCTAGAAAAAAAAACAAACAAAACCATCAGAAGCAATAAAAGCCATAAAAGCTAGCTGGAGATGGTGGACATCCTTTATCACATGAGATTCCCTTGCTTTGAAACTGGTGAAGCTTTTTGTAGTCAAAAAAGTTACTTGGCAGTATATTTTCGAGACTTTCTTTCAATAACCCAAACACATGGAACTCACAACACTGATATCCTGACAAGTCCTCCAAACTATTTATCTCTGATATATTGAGTATTCTTAAAAAGAGAGATGTATCAGACTTTGTGACAGACAGTAGAGATTGTCCTGTTGATCATTACTGAATACAGGTTGTTCAGAGAGATATCTGTGATAAACACACACACTCAAAAGTAATTTAAATTAACATACAGATAGTGAAAATCAAATCACTTGTTTTTGTCTTGATTGATTAATATCACTGTGAAATATGGTTTCTTTTGAAACATTTTTGTGAATATTACTCTATTTCTGGTTTTTAGTGCAACAGTGAAATCTGTGGCTGTGAGAGAAATAGTATGGTAAGTATATGTTCTGTTTATGAATATCTGGCAGATTAAGAAAATTCACTCATTCTCTCTAGATTTATCTAAGACAATGATTCTATCATTATTATGTGAGGGTTAATTTTATAGAAAACAGGATTTAGTAATTTGTGTTCTCAGAAAGAGGTGAAGATTAGGAAGGGAGGGTGTGAAAAAGGGTATAAAAGTCAGAGGAAGTGGTCATTGCAAGCATAATTGCAGTATGATTAGAAGAACTAGAGGGAAGGAACGATAAAGAATGATGCAAATAAAAATGTGAGAAAAATATAATGGTTATTTTCAAAGCAAGAGGTGAATCCTGAGGAAAGGGAATAATTAGGAAAAAAAAATCTGAGAAAAAAACACTAGAAGTACCTTAGAGAAGGGTAAATGCACACTGAAAAGCACCAGAGTACATGATGTGCCATTCAACAGTCATTAGCCATCCCCTCCTCTGTTTCCAGCCCATTCAGGGTCTGGGGATCCCATAGCTCTGCTAACACTCAGGAGAGCAGAGCTGCAGTGTATGTCACAGTATCAGATTCTGCGATGTGCTTAAAAGCTTCCTCTGCTCAGTTCTTCTGTGAGTTCTTTTGTAGAGTGTGAAGATCATTAAATGTGGGAGTTACAGCAAAAAGGGTACTCTGGAAGGTTATTTCTTTGGCCTCACTGCTCTCTCTCTAATCTGTGACTCCAAGGATCTTTTACAAAGTGCAAAGCATAGGGAACCAGTGGACTTCCCATTCCTGCACCCGACACCTGGAAAAAACCCACTACTGTCCATGGCA